ATATATATATTCCTCCCAAATGGGTCTTGAAGGATGAGCAGGTGCATACATGAGGTAGAGAAGATGAGAAGGACATTCCTTTTTAAAAAAATATATTTTATTGATTTTTTTACAGAGAAGAAGGGAGAGAGATAGAGAGTTAGAAACATCGATGAGAGAGAAACATCGATCAGCTACCTCTTGCACATCTCCCACTGGGGATGTGCCCGCAACCCAGGTACATGCCCTTGACCGGAATCGAACCTGGGACCTTTCAGTCCGCAGGCTTATGCTCTATCCACTGAGCCAAACCGGTTTCGGCGGACATTCCTGATAGAGGGAACAGAATATTACAAGGATCTGAGATAGAAAAACATCTGTCATGTTTCAGGAACTGCAAGCAGTGTCGTCTTGTGCTATTTAAGACCCAACTTCTCAAACAAGACTGCAAAGCCTCCAAGAGAAGAAAGGAAGAGAAAGAAGACTGTTGAAAAGCAGGTGAAATAGCAAATATGCATCCCACCTCTTCTGCCTCCTTTTCCCAGACTCTGCCTTACACACATCCCTCTTCTACACCACACACACCCTGACAACTCTGGGAAGGAAAAAACTCCCCGTACTCTAAGGTCAGTAGCTCCAGAATCCCCAGCTGAAGAGGCAAGCCTTCTACTGAAAGAGAGAAATGAGAACCTCAAGTCTCTGGAAAAGGGACATTAAGTACTAATTTACAAAGGTCCAACCAACTAACCTTAGTAGACATGCAACTTTGAACTGCTGAGGGAATCTCACCCACCCCCTAAGTCCATATCCAATGCCTTTTCACTCCAACTCATTTCTAGTGAGCCATCTCCAGCTTCTGCCCCCCTGAGGATGCTGTGTGAGCTAAAGTGAGAAAGGCAGTCTAATAAATCAGAGCTGACTGGTGCTTTAAAAATGACTTTAGCTACAGTTATGGTGTTGTCTCATGCTAAGCACAAAAATACATTTCAGATGGGAAAAAAATGACTCTAGTAGGATACATTTCTGAACCCCAGCCATGCTGAGAATCTTTGGGTTATTGACACAGAGAGGCCAGGCAGACACGTCAAAGTAAACAAGGCCAAAGAAGCCATGGAAACAAGATAACACACAAGAACTGAAGTCTATAACCACATTGGGAAACAGATAGGAGTGGAAAAGAGGCATGGCCTTTAGAATCAGATCTGAGCCACCACTTACTAGCTTCACTGAACCTTTAGTTTTCTCTTCAATAAATGAGACATTAGTATTTACCTCAGAGCATTACTGGGAATATTAAATGAAATAAAGAATATAAACCACCTAGCCTGGGGCATATAGTCAGTGTTTAAATAATTTTACTTCCCTTCCCTTTAACCAGAGCCACAATAATGCACTGTTGCACAATTAGGGAGGTGTGGCCTCATTCACAACACAGTGTATGTGAACAGCACATCCTGGAATCATGCAATGCACAGTCCAAGATAGGCAGCCACTAAGACTTTTGTCTATAAGTAGTGCCGGAACTCAGAAAAAGAGCTAAAATGCCACTGGAGGTGTATTCAAGACAATGGATGGGTCTGAGACCACACAATCAATCCCAATAACAAATACAATATACCAGGAAAATAGAGCTCTGGAAATCAAGGCAACTTTATCTCAGAAAGCCTCTTCTATGTTCCTACTGGGGTAAAAGCCAATTTCTGGACCTCCATCAACCTCAAGTCTGTAGCTGAACCCCATCAACCAAGGATCTGGTGAGTATGAAGCCAGGGATAAGAGCAAAAAATGGTACAAGTCTCCAGCTGAGG